TTTAACTGCTGGTGGTCTTTCTTTGCTATTTTCATTTGTTTTTACTTAGTACTACTATTTCTAGTTTGCAGTTTTTCTTTTATGGTGTTTTTTTTTTTGCTATTCGTTGTTTGCTTTGTAATGTTTCCTCTTGATGTTGTTTCAACTTTTTGCTTGTTGATTATATTCTGTTTCCTTATTTATGAAAATATTATTTAGAATAAAATAATATAATTTTCACAATATTCATATTAATTAGAATCTCTCAAGTAGTGAAATAATTTACATAATTTAATTTAATCCCACTTAACTTTATTAGCTCTCTATTTTTTTAAAAAAATGGCTTGGGATTCAATTTTGGAGGAATTTTATTTAAGGATCATGAAAGAGATTTAATTTCAGGCAAGTCCAAAAACATTCAAAAATTTAGTTCAATTTAGGGAGAAAAGTCAAAAGAATTTCGATGATGAAAAGATTAAAATACTTTTCACGTGTTATGCAGAATTACTAGTTATTATTTTTCTTACTACACTTGTCAATTTACCAATATTTTTTGTAAATTACATCCATTTATCATGTAATCAATAACATTAGTTATTAATTTGCTAACTTTACTTATTAATTTACTAATATCAGTTGTAAATTACAAGAATTGTCAGTAATTTATAATTGATGTTAATAAATTACAAGACATGTCAGTAAATTGTAACTAATATTAGTAAATTAATAAATAAAGTTAGTAATTTAACAACTGATATTGCTGCTTATGATTGAAAACTAATGTCAAATTTTATTTAATTATTGATATGTCAACTCAAATAATTTACAACTCATATTCGTAAATTAAAAATGGGGTAAGAAAATTAACAACTAGTGATTTTGTGTAAGAGGTGAAGGATATTTTGGTCTTTTTTACTGTCAAAATTTTTTTAACTTTTCTCTTTTGGACTGAACTAACATTTCAAAATTTTTTTGGATCCACCTAAAATTAAGTCTCTTCCTTAATCTGCAACTAAAATTTTACCTTCAATTTATATCCTTAAAATTTAACATATATTAAGTAAATGTTTGGGAGAATTACAACCATCCCCTCCCAAGAAAATTAATTACGGACAAAGACCAATACAAAATGAATTGTTGTTAAAATACAGAACATGATTTATTTTTTCTTGAATGAGACTTGTTCTTAATCCTCATCCATAATTAATTTCCTTGAGAAGGGTCTGTCTGTAATTCTCCTTAAATTTTTGGGAGGATTACAATCAGTCCCCTCTCAAGGAAATTAATTACTGATAAGGACCCATGCAGAAAGGATTATTATTAAAATGCGGAACATGACTTTTTTTTTTGGGAATGGGACTTGTTCTTAGTCTTTATTCATAATTAATTTTTTTGAGAATGGGCTGTTTGTAATTCTTCCTAAATTTTTTATTCAAATAATTACACGGCAAGTTCCTTTTATTATGAAGTAATTTCTATTAGAATGTTACAATCATTATCTTCAAACCTCAACCATTCTTCATATTTTTGCAAATGTCATTAATATACGTGGAAGACTTTTGAAGAAAATTGAACACTCTTGAATAATACTGAATACTTTTTAAAAAAAAAGCTGTGGAAGATAATTAAAGTTAATTGTAGAAAATTTTCTTCCTTCTCTTCCAATAATATTGAAGATACATTGAAAATTTGTGAAGATTAATAAAGATTGATGGAGAAAATTGGAGAGACTCTTGAAAAGTACTGAACTTTTTGAAGAAAAAGGTAAAAGATTAAGTTACTTGCAAAAAATTTTCTTTTAAAAAAATTTTGACGACTTTTGAAGGTTAATAAAAATTTTGGAAAATTATTAAATCGGTAATTAAAACATTGGCCCTTTTGTCCATGTATTTGGACCCTTTGGTCTTTAACCACTTTTTCCAAAATACAATGACGCGTTTTATAGGGCCCACATATCATGTGAAATGTGAGGCAAGAGTACATGAGGCCCGATGCGGATATGAAGCAGATTGACGCCAAATTGAACAGAAACTTTCTCTTGCGTCAGCTGATAATTTCTTTTTGGGTACAAAATGAGGCATCAAACCAAATCATCGTTTCTACCCAAAAAAAAAAAAAATTATTGGCTCAGTTAATAAGGATATGACTTATAAGTTATAAGATTAAATTTTACTATTAATGTGAGAACTGATAACCTTATTAGTGGGCAGGAAATTTGTAAATACTTTTATAAGTATTATTTAAATTTAAGACATGTTTAGACCTTAATGAGCACCAAAACTCAACTCATTTAAATTTTTTTTTTAAAAAAAAACAACTACAACAAAAGTAGAACCAAAACTAAAACAGAAACAAAAGCATATCAACAAACTAATATGGTCAAAACCAAAACCACAATTATTTGCCAAACAAACTTTAACAATCTCATATCATAACATGAACACCATCTGACTTAATTAAATTGGCCTCTATATCAGCATATTGGTTTCCTTCTCTTGCTATATGTTCAATCTGAACCTGCCAATCCTTCTCCAACCATTTAAGAGCCTTTTACAAAGTAGCAACCTACACTTTCCTTTAATTCGAGACCTCAAATTTTGAATCTGGTTTACCACCATTGCTAAATCCATTCAAATCTCAACCTTTCTAAAACTGGCCTCTCAACATTCAACAAAATGAGATTCTCCCTTGCTTACTCTATTTGTGTTGAGTTTAACCTATCCATCTTGATTCTCATTTTAACTATACTTGCAATCCTACTAATTTGAGCCATGTTAGAAAACTCAAAATTACCCTCCCTCATGCATTGTTTTAAGAATCTGATTAGATTGAACTGAAAATTAAACCAATTAGACCATAGATAGGGGCTATTATTAGTTTGATTTAGGCTAAAAAATAGTTTTCATGGTTGAATTGAGTTAGATTAGTGTTGAAATGGTATTGATTTGGAAATTGGAATGATTTTTAGATAAATGAATGATTCTAAACATTGGAAAATTTATGAAAAATATTAAAAAAATAAAAATAATAAACTATAGGTGTAAATGCAAATGCTTTTGAGTCTATTCATATATAATTTAATCAAAATTCATCAATATTTGACAAGTTATAAAACATAAGTTATAATAAGATTATTGGACAATTTGATGTATAAATTATAGGTTCTAAAACATTTAAGACCTTAAACTTGTTTCGTTTGTATAACACCTCCCTCAACTTTTAAAAATGGTGCAACATAGCTCCTATAGTTAATAAACATTAATTTTGAACATTATTTGATCAAAACATAATAGAAAAAGAATAAAAAATTATATAAAAGGATAAAAAATTACAAAAAAGCGCCTAAAACATACAAACAAGAATCAAGAAAATTTTCTTACTCATTTTTTGTAATTTTTGATATTTGTTTCTATTATTTTATGGTTAACTAATAGTCAAAATTAACTTTTGTTAATGATAGTAGTTACATTTTACTTTTTTTAAAAGTTGAAGAAGAACATTACATAAAAATAAGTTTAAAATCCTATATGCTTTGGACCTATAGTTTAGAGGTGAGATTACTATTTAATCCTGATGTTGAGACCATTAACCTTTTTAATTTAACATTTAGTTTGGCTTTTAAAAACATTTCTCTCATGATAACATTTTTCATACAAAAAAAAAACATTTGACAATAATTTTTCTATAAAACAAAAATTTAGGTGAATTAAATTTTTAGGAATTCACTCAAACCAAATATGTCTCTAAATTTAAATAGTACTTATAAAAATATTTATAAATAATTTATTAATAAGATTTTCATTTTAACAACATGATTTGACTTTATAACTTTATAAATTATTGATCAAATTCTTATTAAGGCTCTGTATTTATTCATTTTACAACGTAAGCATGGATCCCAATCATCACATCTTGTCATTAGGATTGGATTCGGCATCTTACTCTGCGGTCAAGGGGGAAAAAAATCCAAATGTAAGACGTATTAAACAAGTACAACTCAGGATTATATGTTAAGCATTATTATTATTATTATTTAAATTCTTGTCACCAAATCTTAAAATTTACATAATGTCTTATTTTCAATTCCTTATTCTTTATTTTTTTTTAAATCTCATAAGCAAGGAAATAAGTTAGGTAAGATTTTCACTTCTTTTTAATACGGTGCATTGAAGTAAAAATGTAAAATTACCAAGTACTCTCTCTCTGTTAACTATCATAAAATATTTTTTATTGAATTATATTTTAAATAGTTGGTTAATTATATTTAAAATTATACAGTCATTTTATATTTATTCTTATTTAATAAAATATTTCAATTAGAAAATCCTATTAATTACACTCTTTAATTAAAAATATTTTTGAAAAATAAAAACTTATTAATTATAATTTAAAAATTCAAAACACCTTATATTTTTAACTTATTACCTTATAAAAATATATTATATTTTTGAATCCAAAGAGTAGAGTTCATTTATATTTTTTAAATACCACATTACAACTGATAATATTAGTCTTTAAAATATATTTTTTAAAAAAAAGTTTCAGAAAATATTAAATTTTTTAAATATAACTTTTCATCTTGAATTTTTTTTTGAATTTCGATTCTAAATAGTTTTTTTATTTTTGGTTTAATTATAGTTTTTAATTTTTTTTTGATTGAGTCCAATTTAAAGCATGATTTAATATTAAATGTAAATTTTTTTGTATTGAGGTTTAAACTTTGATTTTTCATATTGTAAGGAGCTAGCCTCACTCACTATAAATTTTTAATGAGTTAAAGTTTGGAAAATGAAGTGATATTTAAAAGACAGGAGCTAAAAAGTAATATTATTTCTTAAATATTTATTTATTTATTAAATATTTTTTATAAATACTAAATAATAACAGCAAAGCTATAATAAAATGCTTATTTTTGTAGGGGTTGGGGAAACGACAGAAGAAAATGATGATGATGGTGATAACAATCCTAGTAAATAAGTAAATAAATAAATGATAATAACCGTTTTCTGCAAAAATCAAACCTCGTGGGAGGAATCTAGGAAGCATTGGCATGAGCTATGTTAGCTCCCATGTCTCTCTCTGCCAGGGTCACTGCTGCAACAGAAGGCAAACTTTGCTCCGAAGTTCGCCTTCTTCTTCTTCGTCATGATTGGTAAATTTACGTTTCACCTCTTTTCTCTCGTACTGATATCTTTTGCTTAATTCCTCGTCATTCGTTCTCAAATTTGGTCTTCATTTCCTTTTTTTCCTGATTCCTTGTTGCTTTCGTTGATTTTTCCGTCTTCCCTAATATTATTCCTTCTTGTCTTGTTGTCAGCCATGGAGGCTTGCCATTCCTGCTGATTCTACTTCTGCTGCGTTTCGTGTACTTCTTTGATCTGCTTATTTGGCCTCAATAATTCTCAATTCAGCCTGGTTTTACTGGGTTTCCACTTTGTTTTAATTGCTTTTGTTCGGTTTTGATCGGTTTTTTGCAGCTTCTTTTTGTAAGGATTAAGGAAAAGTTAAATATGAATTCGACTCTTGGTTGGTATCTGGTACTATGCAGAATTAATTGTATCCGTTGGTCTAGCATCTTAGGTCATTGGACCTATTTTTTGTTTGTCAGTATCATAGTAAACAGAGTCAAATATCAATTGTCGACTTTGGTTTTAAAAAAATTTCTCCATGATCATTTTCTGCGCATAACGGGTACCAAGCTTCAAAACCGTAAGTTTGTGGTCTTGCCCACTTGCACTATGATCGATGAAAAGAATCACGTCTCATTATAGTGGTACTTTGATGAATAGTTCATCCTTTGTTGTCTCCTTCATGTTAATTAAGCTTTAATACTATAGCAGTGTCCGGCCCGAGTAATTGAACGTGAAGTGTTTTTTTCGAGACATGCAAATAAAAAAGATCATAATTTAGAGCAGTAAAATTAAAGTAGATATTGATCCTATTTTGATTATAGATATTGATACGTCGATGTATGATTGAGGTTCAATTATATAATCGTCTTGCAGATTTCTGACATTTGAGCTCTCTGGTTCCTGAATCATTGATCTTCTCCAAAATGGGAAGAGACCCGGGGAAATGGATAAAGACCTTGTTTTCAGGGAAGAAATCACCAAAGTCTAATCGATCAAGCAAAAAAAATATCTTGGTATTCTTTTCCTTTGATTTTCCTAGTTGTCATGTTTGACAACCTTTTATGTATATGATTTGTCATGGCTGATCTGCAATTCTACATTGTATATGAAAATAACACTCTTTCAGATTTGATAGATTCTAAGGTAGATAGAGCTAAGGAGTAATCAAGCTGAGGTTACAAAGAAAGGGATTTTTTTAGGCTTTGTACCCAGACTTCAAGTCTGTATAGATTAGGAATTTACAGGAAAGAGAGTTGTTTGGGAAGAAGAAAATTAACCTATCAATCATACCTATCATAGAAATGGTTTGGCTGCACCACACAACTAAGGAGACAGTCATTGCTGAATATACTCAAAGCTGATAGTTCAGCAATAATTCTTTGGTAGCTGAATGGCCATGGCGCCAAATAGTTTTGCTTTGGAGACCTAACCATGAATGAAGTTACTAAGATAACTCTAATCTAGAAAAAAAAATGAGAATAAAGACAAAACTCATTACCTATTATCAATGGATTAGCCTTCCTCTAATCACAATGTTACTCTAGTGTCATTTGAAAGGGGTGATCTTCTTGCATTATTTGTCCCTGAACTGCATCTGCCTACTCTCAGACTTGTTTATTTATCATTAATAAGTTTCTTTTCTTTTTTTTTTTCTAAACAAGTGGAGAAGCAAAAGTCTGATTTATGTGCCACTGGTTGATAGAATTTTTTTTGTTTCATATTGCATCCCTTACGTAAGTTTTAGTTGTTTGATATCATGCATTGGCGGATAATTATATGGAATGGTACAATCTAGGACAAGTATTTAAAATTATATACTTTACATTCATTGGTAAACCAATTAAAAGGATGATGCGCTAGGTGCGTTTTAGTGCTTTTTCCCCTTTCGTTTTTTTTTTTTTCCATTTCAAGTTTAAACTATTTATTTTTTACATATTTTTTTTTTGTACTTTTTCGTTGTGATTTTATAAGTTGCAAACAAATTTTGAAATTCTTTGACTGGATTTGGACCTGTTTTGGTATTACTTAAAATGCCAAAACATTTTGATGGAGGAGAAAAGGTTATGGAGGTAGGTAAATGACTGGCACAAACTATATTTACTACAACTGCAAAAAATAAGTATTATAGCTTTTTCATGCTTTTTGAAGGAAGAGGTGACAATTTGAAACTTGTGCTGTGAGAATTGCATGTTTTCCTGTTGATAGAGACGACTTGCTTCCATTATTGTGTACTTAATTTGACTACAACCTGTTAAACGATTATTCAAATAATAAACGCATCAACATCCTCCGCCGCCGCCGCCGCAATTATCACCAGCATGATGGGAATGACCAATCCCAGAATTGATTTGGACTGAAGCTACAGCACCCATCATGAGGATGAGGTCGCCGTCTCTGGCGCCGCCGCTAGCACCTCCATTCTGCCGCCTACGGTTTTATAAAAGTGACGTGGTTGCCAACGATGGCGTTGCTGAAGCTCGAGTTTTATGAGAAGCTTGAGCTTCTTCTGATCTCGAGGATTTGAATCCCTTCTTCATTTCATATTTCTTTGAAAAAATGCAGCCCATAGGTACATGTGAATGCGATGAATTGAATTACTTTGGTTGGGTCTGTGTGCTTCGATATGTATATAATGAATTCGGATAGACAGAATCCGCAGAGATCGGCACTTGCTATTCAGATTGTTTATGAGAGCAAGCATGTGACTCCATCCCGATCCTTGCAATTGCGAACACGGACTTAAGCTCTAATAAATACCCTTCAGAGTCCAAAATTATTGTATTTTATATAACTTTAACTAAATAACAACTTTTTTATTGGTATTGTGGATCCCATTAAAAAGCCCTTTCATGTGTGCAGAGTTCTTTCTAATCTGGCACGAATATCCAGGTTTGTACGATGGTTTGTTAATCCCGAGCATTTTTTACATTGTCTGCTGGCTGCAAATGGATTAGTATATTAGTTAAGAATTTTATTATAGTCAAATGATGCAACTTGTTCTTTCTCTTTTTATGAATATAATTAATTCCGTCATTCTTAAATACAATTGGGTATTCATTATTATTAATGGCTAAGTTATCGATTATGATTAAATAATACTGCATTTATGACTACATACTTTTCAAAATATGGGAAACATATTTAAGGGGAAAAAAAAAAGCCTCGGAGAAGATGATAATTTTTTCCCCCGAGAAACATGATAATTTTATTTGGAAATTGGCTATCATTGTAATCCCCTTCAAAAATTAACGGAATACTTTTCCAAATATCATCATAATAAAGTTTTGATTTATTTAAAAGAATTATCATAATATAAATAATTAAATTCATTAATCAAAAAAATAACGACAATAGAAAAAAAAACAAGCTAAAACCTTTGAATACTACTGTGGTCTAAAAAATCAAACCATTTTTCATTTCGGATTCCAATACAATAGAAAAGATCTACCATGATGTATATGTAGCGTTCAACTTCCTAGAATAATTGCAAAAACTAATATCAATTTGAGAAATTCTTACACAGATTCAATGCACCATTCATTGATGATCTATCCATTAAAAATATGCTATGTTAATACTAACTAAATCAAATAAAATCTTATGTATTATTATTTTTAATGATTTTATTTTTGAAATTTCTTTTCTTATCTTTTCTCTTTTCATCATTATTAATGATAGAATAAATTTATATTTACAAGTATATGATATGTCAAGTTTTTATTGAATGGACTATAAATGATGTACTAAGTATGTGCAAAAAAATTCTTAACTATGATAGGAAAGAGAGAAATCCATTTAGAATACTACCATAAAAGATAAGATTTACATTAAAATTTGATTAATGATATTGTCTCTTTGGTGATTGAGATTGATGAGGGATTTCAATCCCTTGTTTTATGCACTAGTGGATGATAACATCGGCTCAGCCCTGTTTTTTTTTTTTTTTAACAATACAATTGAGCTATGGCATACTTAAGGCCCACAAGCATAAAATTTACCATAAGCCTATCAATGTCAATTTAAACACTTTAATCCATTCATCCAGAATAAATGGATCATACATAATCACTATATTGAACTGTGGATCCACATATATTCATATATTCCGAACAATTAAACCAAGGCCTCTGGCCATGTCTCAAATAACATTGATCCTAGAGCATGGAATTTAAACCAGACCTACAATCAAACAAAAATATCTAATTTACAAATCTAAATTTAGACAACAGCAATATTAGAGTCAATGAGTCATAGATGGCAATATGCATTCTAAAACACGCAGGTAAAAGAGGCAAATACATTAACTAAATGATGCACTATGCCTCAAGAGCCCTTCCCAACAAATTGTCTCTAGAACCTTCACTTGAAAATATTTAAATTATGGGATGAGATAAAGTCCCAATAACAAACAACTAATTTGAAAAGCATGGCAAGAAGTGCATGAGTTGGCTTCTCTTGATTTCCTACTCTCTCCACTTCTTCTTCACTTTTTATTTCAACCATTAGATCTTTTTTTAAATGATTTAATGTTTCATAAAATTAATTTTTTTATTTTTTAATTATAATCTTAAATATTGAATTGCAGTTTAGATAAAATTAATCATATCTTAAAATTTATTTATTTATTTTTCATAACTTTAATGTTTTAATCATAATTAAAAAATTAATTTTATAAAACATTAAATTTCAACCATCTAAAAATGAATTCAATGATTGAGATGAGAAATGGAGAGAAAGTGAAGAGAAGCCAACTCCAAAAATACAAGATAGGAAAGTAGATATTTAAGGCTTAGTTTGGATGGAGAGAAAGATGGGAGTAAAATAGAAAGGAGAGAAAAATTAGGAGAGGAAAGTTCCAAAAATAGTAAAAAAAATTACTATTTTTTGAAAGTTTTTCCTCATATTTGTTAGTCTTCCTATTTTTCTCTTATCCAACCAAGCCTAAAACTTAAACATATAATTGATACAGAAAGCATTTCCAAAACAATAATCCGAACTCATAATAATGATAAATCTAAATTACCAACTCATAATCTTCTTTACCTATTTTTTTTTGTTGGACGAATAATCTTCTATACCTCTACCTTCCTTATACTGCTCATGAGATGTATTCCTCCTAAAAGTCACATAGCTCATACCGGATCATGAACCTCCTCGTCTGCCACGTAGGTGATAACCATGAGATCCTTGATGGTGAAAATACCATAGTATTGATATTTTTTTAGGAGAATGACAGTTAAGGACCCCTTAAGGATATTAATTTCAATTAAGGATCCTAAAAAATAGAAATCCCAAATAAGGACCGTAGTCCTTAATAGGGATAAAAAAACATTGAATTGTTGAAAATGCCCCTGAGCTCAAAATAAATGTACCGCACATGAGAGAGCCCTATTCCTACTCTGTTTCGGTGTCTTCCTCGGTTGCTCCTTCTCGTCGTCTTCCTCTATTTCAACTCGGCCGGCTGCTTAGTCGCTGATCAGGTTCTCTGTATCAGGTCTAGGGATGCACAATCGCTCGTGAGAGGTCCTTTATTATTGCTCCCATTTTCAGTCTGGTGTGCGTGCTCTATGTTCGGTGCCCCCTCTTCTCTTCTTCCAGGTTCGGTGCCTCTCTCTGCCTGTCTCTCTCTCCTTCCATCCCTCGGTCTGCTCTTCGGTGGGGGGGAGAATGATTTTGTTTTGTTTTTGTTGATTGTGCATTTTTTTTCTAGTGTCATTCCAGTAAGGTATTTGCAAAAGAAAAGAAACTGCAGTAATATTGATTTGTGATCTCAAAATGGTTCCATATTTGTTTATATTTATGCAATATTCGAACATGATTTTTTGCTCTATTCTATGATTTTGCCATGAATTTGGGAAGAAAGAGGGAGAAGCCTTTTGTTTGTCTGGTATTTTTATGTTGTAAGATGAATTTCTGGTATTTTTATGTTGTAAGATGAATTTTTGTGTTTGTTGTTGATTGTGCATTTTTTTTCTAGTGTCATCATTCCAGTAAGGTATTTGCAAGAAAAAAAAGAAAAACTAAGTAATATTGATTTGTGATCTCAAAATGGTTCCATATTTGTTTATATTTATGCGATATTCGAACATGATTTTTTGCTCTATTCTATGATTTTGCCATGAATTTGGG